ATTGAGTCAAGCTTGCTGTAGACAAGTTCAGAGTACGTTATGTGGGGCAAGATGAGTTGTCTAGCTAGCTTGCGCCTAGTTTCCAATGGCGTAAATGAGGCAGAGATTCTCAACCTACGCAGAACGGAATACACACTGCTGACGAAACTATTAATGTGGTCGGAACAGGACAACTTACAGTTAATGACAAAGCCTAAACTTTTTATCTTGTTTGTAAACATTAAAGCACTGTTACCAATAAACAATTCAGGGATATTTTCAACATGCACTACACTATTACATATTGGCAACACAAAGGACTTAGAAGCATTTAGGCATAAATAGTTATCACTTTCCCATTGCGATATAGCAGACAAATCACTATTTAGTTTGAAACACAAATCCTCAACAAGACCTACACGACTGGACAAATACACTTGAATATCATCCATATACGCATGTAGGTTAATATACTTACACACTGAGAACACATCATTGACGAACATACTGAACAAAAGCGGGCCTAGGACAGATCCCTGCGGGACACCAGCTGACACAGCTTTAAAACTAGAGGAATCATTCTTTGTCTTCACTTTTTGTAGCCTACCCTCTAAGTAACTCCTCATAAATGTTAAAGAATTATCAGAAAAACCAAAATAATGTTGAAGTTTCTTACATAAAATATCGTGGTTAACCGTGTCAAATGCCTTAGAGAAATCTAAAAGGCATAGGAGAGTTAAATCACTGTTGTCAAAATGTGTTCTTATGTCATCCAGTATTTTCAACATGGCAGTGGAGCAGCTATGCTTTGGTCTAAACCCGGACTGTAGTGGAGATAATAGATTATTGCATTTGATAAACGCCGAGATTTGCACTCAAGGACTCACATACTTTTGCTAGTGTTAGTAGGGACACTCTTCTTGGCTACTGGGAGTATGACGGCTCTTTTCCACTCCGCAGGAAAACATGATGTCGTAAATCAATGGTTAATAATGTGGGTAATGGTGCCTAAAATTAACGGCAGCACAAGTTTGACAAATTTCAGGGAGATTCCATCGTCACCAACAGCATCTGATTTAATACCCCATATAGCTTTTGTTCGGAGCAGCAGCTGGAACCTAACTAGAAGAAATTCATTTACATCTTACCTATGTGCACTGCCCTGCGTGGTAGTTAAAAACTAGCTTTGTAATACCATAACTTAATATTCCTTTAATTTTTAGTACATTTGGCCACCTTAATCTTAGCACTTGCGCTCAATATTAGTATCAATCATTCTTGCAGTTTTTTTTTCTCACTTGCCTTTTCTCTTCATCCTTAGCTGCGATATATGTATGTACATATGTACATCCATACATAATCATATATTCTTTTTGTCACTCGATTTTGGACATTAACTGTGAGCAGTTCGATTAGGAAATTTAATTGTTGTGCAACTATAGTCACGGCCACGTACCATTTGATTAGTAAGAACATTGTCTCTAAATGAATTACAAATAAGTTAAAAACACAGTGCGTTTAATGGTTTTAGACATTCATAGCTGCAAAAAAAAAGATTTGTAGCTCAACATTTTTTGGTGACCCCGACGTGATCGCCGTGACAATTTAGTTGTGCAAAAAGAAAAACAATTCAACAGACATTTAGTTATTTAACAATAATACTTGTTGTGCTGCGCGACAACTTCCATTCTTGCTGTACATATGTATTTTCGAGCATAGTACATACAATCCGTTCTTTGTAATCACCACTGTGATTTGGAGCAATTGTGGTGTGATTGTTAAACGGTCAAAACTGTAACTTTGCGTACATACATAGCCCTTGGCTAGTACATATAATCCGTTCCTTGTAGTCTGGATGGTAAACTTGCGAGTTTGTGGCGTGATCATTAAACGGTTAGGACTGTAACGTTACATACATTCATCGCGGCTGTCGTTAGCATTCTGCATCCATCGCTTAGCAGTTTCTATATATTTTTGCATACGTTTGCTTTATATTCGTTGCGTTGCTGACAAAACATCCACTCAAGTTGTTCATCTCGAACCTTCAATATGCCGCTTAGCCCAGCTAATGGTACTGCCATCGGGGAAGGTTCATCAAACATTGCCCCAGCGAGTGGGCAAGTGTCTTCAGACCGAGTGTTGTTTTTTGAAGTTGAAAACAATGTCCCTATTCAACCGACTTGAGCGAACAGCAGCAGAAATGGACACGGAAAAGCTCCAAGGCATGGATGAGTACGACTTAGCAGCAATTGTCGAATTATTAGGTGAATTAAGGGCTAACTATAATATGAATAAGCTAGCGTATGCAAACGTGCGAATACACATAAATCCTATTCTGAAACTATAATGTGCTTAACATCAAGTTTCGTCAAGTTTCGCCAAACGTCATTTGCTTAAGGAAAGAGCGATACTGCCCGTACTTCCGTACGGAATCAGCTGTTTGTCCTCGTACGTATGTATGTACATATGTAACACATGCAGTGTTGCCGCATTGGCTTTTTCCGAAATTGGTAATTTTTTTCTTTGTTTATCATATTTGATAATTTGGTAACTTATTTCTCAACTTGGTAACTTTTTCGATTCAGTCCTACATGTAACACAGGTCAAAAGAAGTTCTGGTTCCATATTAGGAAGTGGGCCGTAAGCGGTTTCCTTTTACAGAAACACCAGATTATCCTGAAATTTTCGCAAGGCGAACAGTTCTTCGGCGTTTCTAGGTTACTATAATTGTGTGATCTACAACAAACTGCTTGATAGTGGCTATTGTTATATCTAATTAAATGTGGCAACACTGAACTCATGTAAGTAAAATATAGCAACCTAAAAGTCAACACTACGTTGCTTATGCATTTGACAGACTTTTCGTTAATTTTCTGACAGTCAGTTACGGCAGCTTATGCATATTATAGTTAGCCCTTTAAAATCAGCCTTTACTGTCGCTCACACCAGTTTGGAGGAACTAGATTTCCATTCCATCCCAGTGTTCTTCCCTGCAAATTTGATTCCACGGTAACAAATCTTAAGGCGAACCAGCAACGAGAGATTGGGAAACATACTACATCCCACCACTGCTCGACATTCAGAGCGAACGNCCGTACTTCCGTACGGAATCAGCTGTTTGTCCTCGTACGTATGTATGTACATATGTAACACATGCAGTGTTGCCGCATTGGCTTTTTCCGAAATTGGTAATTTTTTTCTTTGTTTATCATATTTGATAATTTGGTAACTTATTTCTCAACTTGGTAACTTTTTCGATTCAGTCCTACATGTAACACAGGTCAAAAGAAGTTCTGGTTCCATATTAGGAAGTGGGCCGTAAGCGGTTTCCTTTTACAGAAACACCAGATTATCCTGAAATTTTCGCAAGGCGAACAGTTCTTCGGCGTTTCTAGGTTACTATAATTGTGTGATCTACAACAAACTGCTTGATAGTGGCTATTGTTATATCTAATTAAATGTGGCAACACTGAACTCATGTAAGTAAAATATAGCAACCTAAAAGTCAACACTACGTTGCTTATGCATTTGACAGACTTTTCGTTAATTTTCTGACAGTCAGTTACGGCAGCTTATGCATATTATAGTTAGCCCTTTAAAATCAGCCTTTACTGTCGCTCACACCAGTTTGGAGGAACTAGATTTCCATTCCATCCCAGTGTTCTTCCCTGCAAATTTGATTCCACGGTAACAAATCTTAAGGCGAACCAGCAACGAGAGATTGGGAAACATACTACATCCCACCACTGCTCGACATTCAGAGCGAACGCCGGCGATTCCAAGTCGATCATCGTGAATGCTAATCCTTCTCGTTTGCCTTTGCTGACGTTACCTAAATTTAGTGGTGCCTGCACTGAGTGGATGAACTTCCTTTCGATGTTCATCTCTGTCATCGACAAGGATAGCGAACTAACGCAAACCGATAAACTGCAGCATCTTCGTTCCTGCTTGAGTGGTGCAGCACTGGATACCATTCGATCGCTAGAGATAAACGAGGCTAACTACAAAATTGCGATAGAACTTCTTAAAANCTGCGATAGAACTTCTTAAAAACGATTTGATAACAAAAGACTTATGTTTCAGGCACACATCAGGGAGATCTTTGGGTTGGATAGGGCAGGCACATCCGTTAGCAAGCTACGAGAGTTGATGGACAAAGTCACTTTGCATATACGCGCGTTGCAATCACTTGCGTCCAAGGAACAAATCGCAGACTGTATAATCATACAATTGGTAACTCAGAAGCTGGACAAGGCAACCCAAGCCAAATGGGAGGAGAATTCTTCGAGCAACGAGCTGCCGTCGTGGGACCAGTTAGCTGACTTTTTAGAGAAGCGCTGTCGCACACTCGAAAACGTAGAGCATGCCATGGTAGAGCAAGGATTTCTGGTTGGAAAAAATGGAAAAAACGTGAGTACCAATCAAAATAAATCATTTCTTGCTTCGAAAACCTCTGCGTGTGGTTGCGTATTTTGTGGATCGGCAGATCATCTCATTTACCACTGTCAACGGTTCGCAAATTTATCGCCAAACCTTCGTCAGAAAGAGACCAAGAAACTTTCTCTTTGCCTTAATTGTCTAAAGGCGGGTCATCAGATGCGAGATTGTAAATCTGGATCTTGTCGCAAATGTCAATCGAAGCACCACACCCTTCTACATTTTGATCGTACAAATATAGCTTCACCTGCAACTCGAGGTGCGGCTTCTCAATCAACTACAGCTCAGTCGAACGCAATGATTGCAACGTCGCCTGTCCTTCCGCAAGCCCTTACTTCACAATCTCCATCTGATGCTGTGTTTTTAGCCACTGCGATAATTCTTGCTAAAAATCGTGCCGGAACTTTCGTCCCATGCCGCGCACTGTTGGACTCCGGTTCCCAGCCGCACTTTATTACAACCCGTTTCGCCAATCAATTACAACTTCGTAAAACCAAATCCTCGGCTGCCATTTCGGGCATNGTAACTCAGAAGCTGGACAAGGCAACCCAAGCCAAATGGGAGGAGAATTCTTCGAGCAACGAGCTGCCGTCGTGGGACCAGTTAGCTGACTTTTTAGAGAAGCGCTGTCGAACACTCGAAAACGTAGAGCATGCCATGGTAGAGCAAGGATTTCAGGTTGGAAAAAGTGGAAAAAACGTGAGTACCAATCAAAATAAATCATTTCTTGCTTCGAAAACCTCTGCGTGTGGTTGCGCATTTTGTGGATCGGCAGATCATCTCATTTACCACTGTCAACGGTTCGCAAATTTATCGCCAAACCTTCGTCAGAAAGAGACCAAGAAACTTTCTCTTTGCCTTAATTGTCTAAAGGCGGGTCATCAGATGCGAGATTGTAAATCTGGATCTTGTCGCAAATGTCAATCGAAGCACCACACCCTTCTACATTTTGATCGTACAAATATAGCTTCACCTGCAACTCGAGGTGCGGCTTCTCAATCAACTACAGCTCAGTCGAACGCAATGATTGCAACGTCGCCTGTCCTTCCACAAGCCCTTACTTCACAATCTCCATCTGATGCTGTGTTTTTAGCCACTGCGATAATTCTTGCTAAAAATCGTGCCGGAACTTTCGTCCCATGCCGCGCACTGTTGGACTCTGGTTCCCAGCCGCACTTTATTACAACTCGTTTCGCCAATCAATTACAACTTCGTAAAACCAAATCCTCGGCTGCCATTTCGGGCATTGGGGATGCCAATTTCTCCACAGAGGGTTACTCGGTCGATGTCGTTCTGAGGTCGCGGACTTCAGATTTTTCTACACGTATTACAGCCGTTGTTGCGCAAACAATCACTGAAAATCACCCTAGTTTTTCGGTGGTCACGGCGGACTGGAACGTTCCTTCAAACATTCAACTAGCTGACCCAAATTTCAACTTACCGCAGCGCATTGATTTGCTCATCGGAGCAGGATTGTTTTTCGAACTACTTTGTGTGGGGCAGATTCAGTTGGCGCCCGGTCTGCCAATACTTCAAAAAACTCTACTGGGCTGGGTGATATCCGGCGGTGGTCAACAGTCTTCAAAGCTCTCGTCATTTATAGTTAACAAAAGGTCTTCCAGCTGCGAAGATTCCAGCACTAGACTGGACGATTTAGTACGTCGTTTTTGGGAGGTTGAGCATGTTTTCGAACCAATCGTTAGGACNTGTTAACAAAAGGTCTTCCAGCTGCGAATATTCCAGCACTAGACTGGACGATTTAGTACGTCGTTTTTGGGAGGTTGAGCATGTTTTCGAACCAATCGTTAGGACAACAAAAGAAGAGCTTGACTGTGAGGCGCACTTCAAAAATAATCTTTCGCGTTTGCGCTCCGGTGAGTACTCAGTTCGACTGCCACTGAAGCTCGCTCCTGAGGCATTAGGCGATTCGTATNTAGTTCGACTGCCACTGAAGCTCCCTCCTGAGGCATTAGGCGATTCATATCTGCAAGCTAAGCGCCGTCTCGAAGGTCTTGAGCGGAAACTAGCCTATCCTCAATTGAAGGCGAAATATTCGGCATTTATTCGGGAGTATCTTGACCTCAATCACATGTCGTTGGTCCCCAGCGCTTTCGTTCAAGAGTGTAAATAATTCTTACCTCATCATTGCGTCATTAAAGATGATAGCTCCACAACAAAGCTTAGAGTCGTATTTGATGGTTCTGCTTCCACAAACTTTGAACGACTTACTCATGGCGGGGCCAACGATTCAGCCGAAACTCTTCGATATTCTCGTTCGATTTCGCTCATTTCCCGTTGAACTCACCTGAGACATATGCAAAATGTATCGGTGCGTTCGAGTCGCTGCACCCGATAACATGCTGCAATGCATATTGTGGCGTAACTCGCCAGAAGATGAATTCAGCGTTTATAAGCTGGATACAGTTACATATGGAACCAAGCCAGCAGCGTTTCTGGCCATACGGGCAATGCATCAGCCCGCCTCGGATGAGTCCTCATCTTACCCCTTAGGTGCACAAATCGTTATGCGCGACTTCTACGTAGATGATCTGATATCTGGTGGAAACACGGTAGAAGAAGTACTCGAAATCAGGCATCAAACGACCAGCCTCCTCGCTCGTGGCAATTTCCGCTTACGGAAGTGGTGCTCCAATAGCCAGGAGGTCCTGGGTGATATCCCTGATGCTGATAGGGAAAGTTTCCTGAAATTTGATGACGGTAGCAACATCACCAAAGCGTTGGGTCTTGAATGGGATCCACTCAAGGATAGTTTCTTGTTTGCTTTCACTCCCCGAATTGCACCTGACAGAAATTCCAAACGTTCTGCATTGTCTGCCATAGCTCGTTGCTATGATCCACTTGGACTTATTGGTCCGACTCTAACCAAGGCGAAAATTATTCTGCAGCGTATGTGGAGGGACAAACTTGAGTGGGACGAGAGCCTACCGCAATCGCTTGATACAGCTTGGTCTGCGTTCTGCAAGGACTTCGTCGACGTGCATCACTTATCATTCCCGCGTTACATCGGAGTCACACATGAAGTTCACGCATTTTGCGATGCCAGCCTCGAGGCATACGGCGCTTGTATTTATGCTCGCTCAATCCAAGATGGCAACATTCAAGTTCATCTATAGTGTTCAAAGGCTCGAGTCGCCCCATTGAAGACACTAACTGTGCCAAAGCTAGAGCTCTGCGCTGCTGGTTTACTAGCGCATTTAGTAGCCGAAATCGCAAAAATGAAGGTGTTTGATTGCTCCTTTTATTGCTGGTCGGACTCGACTGTGGTGCTGTCGTGGCTAAAGGAAGTACCCTCTAAATTCAACGTGTTTGTAGCTAATCGGATTTCTAGTATACAGCAACTTACAGAGGGCATACAGTGGCGCTACGTCCCTACAGCCATGAACCCAGCGGATATTTTGTCTAAGGGAGCTGCGCCTGCTGAGCTGTCACGTTCAACGCTTTGGACCCACGGTCCTCCATTCTTGCAGGTAGCAGAGCACGATTGGCCAGACATCACGGTGTCCCACACCAAACTTCCAGAAATTCGCCAAAGGGCTCTGGTGACTTTAAACGATAGAATCGATATCTCACTCTCTTNTAACGATAGAATCGACATCTCACTATCTTTTAAATACATAAACTCTTTTAGCACGATGCAACGCATTTTTGGATACGTGCGTAAATTTTTAAACATTCGCAGATCGAAAGCAACGCCGCATCTCACCTGTGAAAACGTTCATCAAGGAACTCAACTTTTAATTCGCCTCGTTCAAAGAGCGCGGCTTTGGCCAGAGTACGATGCGCTGAAGAACAACAAAAGTGTCCACTCTTCGAGCAGCATCGCGTCGTTGTCACCATTTTTGGATGACCTGGGAGTTATTAGAGTTGGTGGCCGACTAAAGCATTCAACGCTCGGCTTCGAAGCACGACATCCAAGCATTCTTCCAAAGGATCATCCTTTAACGTTCGCCATAATTACGTATTTCCATCGCAAGTGTCACCACGCAGGCCCCCAGTCCCTTCTAGCTTCAATTCGCATGCAGTACTGGCCTATAGGTGGAAGAAAGACTGTGGCACGCGCCCTACGAAAATGCGTCATATGCTGCAGATCAAAGCCACGACTTTTCGAGCACATCATGGCGGATTTGCCAAAAGAACGCATTCAAGCCTCGCGTGCCTTTATCATCTCTGGAGTGGACTATTGCAGACCATTCTATTATAAGCCCGAAGCGCGCAGTAAATCGCCCCAGAAATGCTATATCAGCGTATTCATTTGTTTTGCAACAAAGGCCGTTTGGATGGAACTGGTTAAGGACCTTTCAACTGGTGCCTTTCTGGATGCCCTAAAACGATTTGTCGCTACGCGTGGTACACCAAGCTGCATCTGGTCTGACAACGCAACCAATTTTGTAGGCGCTAAGAACGAGTTGAAAGATTTACGACGCGTGTTTCTCAGTGAAAAGCATCGTACAGAGGTTCACACGCACTGCCTTAACAATGGTTTCGATTGGCGATTCATACCGCCTCGTTCGCCGCACTTCGGTGGCCTTTGGGAGGCCGCAGTAAAAATGGCAAAGCAGCATTTGTATCGCACTGTTGGAACTGCAATTCTTGGTTNGGAACGAGCTGAAAGATTTACGACGCGTGTTTCTCAGTGAAAGGCATCGTACAGAGATTCACGCGCACTGTCTTAACAATGGTTTCGATTGGCGATTCATACCTCCTCGTTCGCCGCACTTCGGTGGCCTTTGGGAGGCCGCAGTAAAAATGGCAAAGCAGCATTTGTATCGCACTGTTGGAACTGCAATTATTGGTTTCGACGAATTGCGCACCTTGGTATGTGAAATCTCTGCCATAATTAATTCTCGCCCACTTGTGCCAATTTCAGAGAATCCCGACGATATTGACGTATTGACGCCAGGTCATTTTCTTATCGGTGGCCCCCTTACAGCACTTCCAGAACCGGACCNATTGGTTTCGATGAATTGCGCACCTTGGTATGTGAAATCTCTGCCATAATTAATTCTCGCCCACTTGTGCCAATTTCAGAGAATCCCGACGATATTGACGTATTGACGCCAGGTCATTTTCTTATCGGTGGCCCCCTTACAGCACTTCCAGAACCGGACCTTACGCCTCTAAATTACAATCGGCTCGATCGGTGGCAGCGCGTTACCTATTTGCAACAAATCTTCTGGAGGAGATGGAGTGAAGAATACTTAACTCTTCTCCAGCAGCGCGCCAAGTGGCGCACTCCACAGCCCAATATCCAAATCAACGACGTGGTATCAAGGATGAAAATTCTGCGCCTCTAAAGTGGCCTTTGGCTCGCGTCACTGAAGTCATCACTGGTATAGACGGTGTTGCTCGAGTTGCGGTTCTGCGTACCTCTACTGGCATTACGCGTCGAGCAGTGAATAAGCTGTGCGTCCTTCCCGTTAAGGATTCTGTTGAAAGCCCTGACCTTTCAACGGAGGGGAGGATGTTCGGAGCAGCAGCTGGAACCTAACTAGAAGAAATTCATTTACATCTTACTTATGTGCACTGCCCTGCATGGTAGCTAAAAACTAGCTTTGTAATACCATAACTTAATATTCCTTTAATTTTTAGTACATTTGGCCACCTTAATCTTAGCACTTGCGCTCAATATTAGTATCAATCATTCTTGTAGTTTTTTTCTCACTTGCCTTTTCTCTTCATCCTTAGCTGCGGTATATGTATGTACATATGTACATACATACATAAACATATATGTACGGTTGTGCCGAGCTGAGATTTGCATTCTTTTTGTCACTCGATTTTGGACATTAACTGTGAGCAGTTCGATTAGAAAATTTAATTGTTGTGCAACTATAGTCACGGCCACGTACCACTTGATTAGTAAGAACATTGTCTCTAAATGAATTACAAATAAGTTAAAAACACAGTGCGTTTAATGGTTTTAGACATTCATAGCTGCAAAAAAAAGGATTTGTAGCTCAACAGCTTTCATAACTTCACGTTCACTTACTCCCATGAATTGAAATTCCTCTTCCAAAGCTGTATGAGCCCAGAGAGTATTCGAAGTGTGAGGAGCACTTTTATTACTACTCGCAGCCGTAAATAGCTCATTCAATACATTCGGGTCTAAATCACACTCAGGCTTCGAACTACCGGGAACTTTCAAGTTTTTTAAGTTCCTCCACAAAACTTTGGACACAAATTACGTCAACAAAGGATCCCTCAAAGACATACTTAACGTAGTCTAGTTTGTCGCCACTAAGGCTTCGCGCATTAAAATGCAGCACAATAAGGCCCATCGACTGCTTACATAAAATGTCTAATAACATCTTATGGTTTCCACCAACACTGGAGGCGCTTTTGTTTGCTGGGTTTACTATCATTGAACTAATACGAAGAGAGACAACTACAAGTACATGTATATATAAATTTAAAATGCAAATGAGTACGATTGTAATATTTCATAAGACAGAGAGATTTTCGACAGCACACATGAATAAAAAGACAATAAGAGATTGAAAAGAGGGAAGATATTAACCTAAGTGTAAACATACGAATAAATAATAACGAAGTCAGTCGTCCACAGAGTAGTCATGTGCCTTTAGAAACAACGCGTTCAACTTCTTTGTTGGCAACTTTTATTGCTTCACCTTTTGGTTGAACTCTCACATTAATATTACCGCGAATAGAGAAGGTAGATGATAAACGCTTCCGCTTCTTAAGCTGCAAAGTAAATTGAAGGAGTTCATGGTTAATATTGGTGAGGCCTTCGTGAACATATATGCGCTCATCAGTATGACGGCCAATGTCACGCAATATTATTCCCCTCTTCTTCAGCTTGAAAAATTTCGCCAGCGCCATAAATATTAGTGATCGATCACCCGAGGAGACAAGCTTTACTATAATGGGCGAACTTTTGCTATTATTTTTGCGTACACGACAGACAGCACGAATGGGGGGAGTATTCACTTGAACAGCCTTGCAGATGTCGTTGAACACATCGCTCAGATGTTCATCATACATTTGAGGTATGCGATTAATTATAATATCGTTAGCAACGGAGGAATTTTCATATTCTCTGATGCTTGACCGCAATAGCTGCACTTCTTTCCTAAGTTCGTCCACATGTGCACACTCCCGCTCAGTTTTAGCTACCCGGTCTTCCAGCTATGTCATTCTCATCTTCACAGTTTGGATGTCAGCAGCCATCTCACTGAGTGTCTGCATCATTCTCTCTTCGAACTCTTTCATACGTGCCGTCAGCTGACTCATCATACTCCCATCTTCTCCTCAATTCGTAGGAGCCATGCAGAAGGCAGACTATCAGAAACTTTCGCCTTATATAATACAGCTGGAGTCTTTGAAGGCGATTGGTGTACGATACGTATGTTTCGTGTTCTTGTGCCCATATTCGCAGAAAAGTTTATCTCCAGCAAGTTAACTTCCATAGACAACGAAACTCACAGATAGATGGCGCTCAAAAAAGTATAAGTGGAACAGCGGATACAAAAAGCAGCTGATAAGAGAACAGCTGATGAAAGCACAGTGCAAGAAAATGTAGTAACAGGCACGTTGAGGTGTTATTGTTTTTGCAGTGTTATTGTTTTTGGAGATTTGTGTGTTTATTGTTTTTAATGATTTGTGTGTTTATGTTTTACCTCTTTTTTCTTCTTGTTTTAGTTAAAATCAATAATTTATCACAAAGAGAATGTTTTTGTCACTTTCTGCAATCGCTTGATCTATGCGTTCACACTCGACAAGGTTTGAGATATTATATTAAATTGAATACAGCAAAAATGCGCGATATTCACCAATAGCAAACGGAGCAGCGATAACACACGCCCGCCCTCCACAATCGTTAACTTATTTTCATCGCTATATTTACCGATTTTGTTATCGATATTATTATTGATTTTTTTTATCGATTATATTTATCGATCTTGTTATCGATATTTGTTTTCGAATTTGGTATCGATATTTTTATCAATTTTGTTATCAATTACTTATCGATTTTGTTAAAGAATTTTTATTGACTTTGTTATCGATATTTTTATCGATTTTGTTATCGATATTATTTAGCGATTGTATTTAGTTGTCGATATTTTTATCGATATTATTTATCCATCCAAGCATTTGCGAGAAAAAAATATATGCAACCATCGTCGATTGGTCACGATTGGTCACTTATTTTTATCGTGTGGTCATAAGCTGTTTTTTTTTTAAATTGAATTTTCAAAATAAGGGTTGAAAATTGCATGTGCTATGTACATATGTGTCGGCCGCTGTGGTGTAGTGGTAAGCAGTGCGCGCTTCCACTCCGCATCACCTGGGTTCAAACCCAGGTCAAAGCAACATCGCAAAAAATATAGAAAAAACGTTTTTTCCTAACAGCGGTCGTCCCACGGCAGGCAATGGCAAACCTCCGAGTGTTTTTCTGCCATGAAAAACAGCTTCTCATAAAAACACAATCGCCGTTCGGAGTCGGCGTAAAACTGTAGGTCCCTCCGATTTGTGTTACAACATTAAGGCGCACGCCACAATTCGGAGGAGAAGCTCGGCCAAACACTAACATATGTGTAAGCGCCAATCTATTATTTATTATTATTATTATTATTATGTACATATGTAGATATGTGTTAGGGATGTACATTTTCCGATTTTTAAGATCCCAGGATTTTTGGGGTCTCGTTATTACAATCCTGGGTCCTGGGATTAGTCCCAGGAGTTAGATATTCATTATTTTTCCACAAATTAACTCGAAAAAAATTGCATCAATATTGTTTGCGAAGCTCTCACACCATTTAATAAATAATAAAAAAGCGGGGTTTGAATATTTTTTTTTTAAATTTTTGGGAAAATGTTCCAATACGGAACCCGGCTTTAAAAAAAATTAAGGGGTTTAGAGCGGCTTTTTGTGATTGTAAATCTGAAACCTGAAATCTGAATTTTTAATAAAAAATCGCGCGATGCGGCGCTTCTCCCATAAAAATCAATACTTCGATAAATAACTAAGTTAACAGTTTTGTTACAAAATCTCTCGATTTTAGACTGAATCACTTTTTTTTATCAATACATCGATATTTAATTAAAAAAAAATAATTACAATGTCCGTTTTTATTGTTTCTCGTTTTCAGTGCTTTTTTTGGGCATATTTTGTTGTGTGGTAGCACCGACATTTTAGCTCAATTGGTTTGCAAAGCAAAAAGCGAGGTTGAAGGTGACATTTTTTGCAACTTAAAATTCAATTTTCTTAAAAACTATAAGCCTCAGAAATAACTTGTTATTAATTTTAACTAAGACATTTTAACTTTACACGGGCCGATTTTCTAGTAGAGTTTTTGAATAAAAAATATTAGGCCAAGTTTAACTGGTAAAAATAACTGTTATTTTCGATCCCTGGAATATTGTGCAAGTGCACTGATAAAACGTATATCTGGCCAGTCACAGAAGAAAGGATTAAAAATGAATTATAAAAACTAAAATCGAAAAACGCTGTTGACGTTACAGGTTCTTCAAATTCAGAAACAACCAAAAGAATGAGAATGAAGAATTCTTTGGAAAACAACGGTGTTTAAACAACGATCTTGCCATGATACTAGATTGTGAAGATGAAAGTCAGGAGGATACATCCGACATTTGCAGCCCGATGCAATTCTCAAAAAAGAATTATTGCACCGCAATAAAAAAGAACAATAAATATAACTGAAAGTCCTCTCGACTGGTGCAGCATCAATCGAAAAGAATTTACAATTTTGTTTAAAGTTCTTCAAGTTTGTCGCCTCGAGCGAGCAGTTAGAGCTGATTTACGACCCTTTAAAAACTTTTTATTGGATACAATGTTCCAATTTTTAAATTCAAGTACTAAAAAAAAACATTATTAAAAATTACTAACCTTTACATTTTTTATTTAACTAAATCACCTAATTTACATACCTAAATTATTTCTTAACAAGTAAAAAGTCTAAGTTCGGGCGGAGCTGAACATTAAATCCCGGCGCATGTATTCAATATAGTTTTTCACCTTCCCGAAAACTACCGCTACATGGTAAGCAGGGGTGGGGTTACGCCTATTTCAAACATCTTCGATAGAACGTTCAGTTAGATATAATGAGATAAACTTATATAGATATATGGGAGCGGCATCACGCCCATTTTCCAAAATTCAATAATAATGTTACTTCTTTTCAAGGGATTGTTTTGTGTAAAATTAGCGTCCTTAAATTTCGAAATTTCGAAGTTTCAAGCATTTCGGAAATTTACCGTTATGAAAAAGTGGGCGTAATTTTAGTCCGATTTCGATAACTTTCAACGTTTTGCCTTCATGTGGCA